ATTCCCTCTGTCGAAAAATAACAGTTTAAATTTTTTCAAGTGTACTGTGTACCAAGACTGGGCCCACGATATTATAATATCGTTCCATTACCCCTAGGTTGACAAAACGCCTTTCAACGGGTCACGACTCTGTGGTGCGTCTACGGGACACAGATACACGTGTCACGATTTCATTGGCTAGGGCAACGCCATGTTCACCGTTGTAAGTTTGTGTGTGTGTTTATCAAGATCATTAACATGAGTGCCTTGCCCAAGCATGACGTCTCTGGTTTCTGACTTCCACTGTACACGCACAGACTACTGCAACGTAGAAGGAAGCACCACTTTCACCGAATGCACATCTGTCTCTTCCTTGTAACTCCTTGTTTTAGAGGTTTCACTACCTCCTGGTGTCATGGCCGACTTTTGTCGTGTTTCGGCTACAACATGAGAAGTTCATGGACTAGAGTAAACGGTATATGCTCAACTAATTTGTCTGAGAGGGCCAGCCTCCATTTACTACTCTCTACATCTACTGAGGTCACTTGTATCTTGAAGAGAATAAAGTCATTTCTTACGTGGTCCTGACATTCGACCTCATCATGCGTCGAAGCAGAAGCGTTCACTCGTCGTCGTTCAACCATCGTTCTTGATCTTTCGCTGCTGCGATTGGATTGTGTCATTACTGAAGAAAATTACGTCTGAACAGTTAAACTATCAACTTTCTCTACGCCTTCCCTTCTCTGTTCCACCACTAGATTCGAAGCATCTGTTCGGTTCGTCACAACTTTGGTCTTCAGGGCATTGATGCTGAGACTGGTTTTAAGGTCGGTGACGCAGACGGCAGTGGTCGAGTGAAAAAGCCCGCTCTCAGAAATACTCACCACGACTATGTTATTTGCGTATACTGTAGGTCAGCAAGATATTTATCCGGATATCTGGCAAGACATCTACTTTCACCATAAATCATATTGCGGAAGTGCGTGTACGCATTCGCTACATACTTTCGCAATGCGTGCTCTCAGCCAATGAAATAGCCATGCGTCTGTCAGTGTTCTGCAGATGCGAATATTGCACAGCAACCCATTGAGCCCTTCCCGATAAATTGCTGGTAACTCAGCATAAACGACCCTTGCGTGAGAAACAAAAGGATATGAAACAAAAGTGAAATGCTGCATATTGCATCATGGAGCAACATGTCATTGAGTGCATGATTGCTACCGTATTCGCGAAAGCCGTTCTTGCACCTGAAATTGTTACATTGATCAGTCATTGCTTTTTAATACTCAAATCGTTTCTTCTCAGTGATCCAATGTCTGCATCTCTATCCATCGTGCGGGGCCAGAGCATGGGATTGTCGATGAAGATACGCATGTTGAATCGAAATGTGTTTGACTGGGTATTCCTCTTATTGCTAAATCTCTGTACTCGTGGTAAGGGCTTGCCACTAACGCTCAAAAACTTCAACTAAGTTAAACGAATCTCCAATGAAGCGACTCACACAGCTCCTTATTCCTTTCAGTCAGTTCCAAATAGGAGAAGAAAATCCTGATTGCAGTTTTGAAAGAACGGATTGGAAAGGTACTGTGAAAATAAACTATGAATGAGAAAATGCCAGACCAGACTTTAGGAAATAACTAAGTTATATGTATTTACTTCCATTTATTCTGGCTGATCTTGCTTACATAAGAAAAATTCAAAAATGGTGGATAAATCAAAACACAGACATGGTTTGAAAATTGGTCCCTTGTTCCGGCGGACAGGTGGCTTGGGCTCTGCAGGCTAGGAGGCAAACTGCGTCGTTAGATTCATAACTGAAATTCAAATGTCGGCGGGGGTTAATAAATCGAATGGCTGATAATGATCGTAAACAAAATTTGTCAAAAGCCGTCTCGTTTTCGCAGAGGTTTGCATTCGACAACAAAACTGCCTCCAATATCACATCGTTTAACTACCACAGATCGATAATTCAAGTTTTGAAAACTTTGGAAAAACTTTACGTATTTCTTTTAAATCGCAAAGTAGCTTACGAAACGCTATGCATCAACATCGCTGATGTACGTAGCTTGAACATTCGTTGATCGATTGTGATTTTATCATTTGTCTATCAGCGATCGGCCTGTAGCAAGCGGCATTATTTCGTAGGGTTGGTCGAGCTTGATTTTGGAGGTTGAATGGATCAGTCGACCTTCTGCTTCCGGAACCAGCATCGCGCCTGAGAACCGCATGTAAAACTAAATGAATAACCTGCACAACGGCCGCTCTGCTGTAAACTCGACTTGAGGTAAGCAAACCTCCTTTCAAACGAGGGCCACCCGCTGAACCTAAAATCCAACCCTGGAGTTTGAACGAAACGACGAATGGCCTGACATATTTGAAACTAGACAACGGTCTGCCATCTGCCATCAGTGAAACTTCCATCTAACTAAATCGAGGAAACAGTGCACTGGGATCTCATTCGAGGGAACTTCAATGCAAGGGTGTTTCCGGTACAAAATGACAGTACCAGCTACTGAACATTCGTCAGAATGACCATACGCTGCAAAAAATACACTCCTCTTCAAAACGGAATGCAGATGTTTCGACCTTCCAGATGAAACCAAGATCCAAGCAGCGTGAAATGACGCCATTCACAGAGAACAACCTCGCAGGTGCTTGTGGAACAATATGTGAATCATATTAACTCTGTTCAAGGAAGACAAAGAAACGTAGTGTTCACTGTGTGCAGAACCGCAGAGGCTGCTGCAGAACATCCAACAAGCAGGTTTCGTTCGCAGTGCCGAAACAAGCAATCCGCTGTGAACGACATTTTTTTCCAAACCGTGTGGGGGGGGGCATTCAGCAGAAGAAACGAAGGTCCGTGAGATGTTAAAACCGTAAGCAGGCGTGCAAGCAACCCTGTGACCGTCACCCACCTGTTTTCCGCCAAAGCTGTTCTGTTCTGACGGATTATTCAATCTATCGGAGTCTCTTCAGACTACATGACTTAGAGATTCCTGACAGACCGATTTTCGAACGAAGTTTTCCCTACATAATTTAGCACTTTGGCTCGTCTGATGGATGCTGGTAGTCTAACAACTCTGTTGAACCTATGCAAAACCAAATGAAGCATAGCGATCCAAATTCTATTTCGACTTTGATGCGTTATACGCTCTGAGATACGACAGCGGCTCTCAAATAGGAGATTTTCCAGAAGTTATGTGGGAGAGATATCAGGAATAAAATAAATTTTTGGAAAAATTATGAAATTTTAGAATTTCATTTACATCATGAAGCTTGGGAATTATCAAGGGCTGCTGAAATAACAAATTACAAAGCAAATGCAGTGAATTCGATTATCTGGGGTAACGGATGCAAGAGGAGATATTCTGCTTTTTCATGGAAAAATCTATGTTCTTAAATTTTAGCGACTAAAAAATAGCTTTATAAAATTTCATTCGTTTATTCAAACGTTATCCTTGAAAATGACTTCGGGTGCCGTGCAGACTTCCGCCTCAACCGAATAATCGTGTGCTCACTCTTTAATTCTTTCAGACATGTTGTGCCATGCCAGGTCCAGCGACGTCTTAGCACTTTTTTGAAGGTTTCCCTGACTTCCTCTAGCCATCATTTTTCCGGTCCAGTT